GGTTATTACCCCAGACGTCATATAGAGGGGGGGGTGCTGATTATAAACAACTTAGTTGCTTCTGTATTCTAATAATAATAAATTTTATTTAAAAATAGCTCCTTTCAAAGCACCCAAGGACACTGTACAGCAAATAAAAACACAAAAACTGGAAATATACATATAAGAATAACAGACAAAAGTTAGGAGCATACAGAGATTTAAACATACGGTAAGCAATTTTAAACAGATGAGTTTTGAGGGTGGACTTAAAAAGAGGGAATGAACTAATATTTCTGAGGTCAGGGGGTAAGGAATTCCAAAGTCGAGGGGCAGAGCAACTAAAAGCCCCACCCCCCATTGCAATCAGACGAGCAGAAGGAAGAGAGAGAGAAAGAGAAGATGAAGATCTGAGGCACCGGGGTGGGACGTTCATCTGTACTAAATCGGAGAGGTATGGTGGAGAGAGAGAATGAATAGCCTTAAATGTATAGAGGATTATTTTACAATGGATGCGAAACTTAACCGGGAGCCAGTGAAGCTGCTTCAGGGTTGGGGAGATGTGGTGGGTAGAGGAAGTCCTAGTAATAATACGGGCAGCAGAATTATGGACATGTTGGAGCTTGTTAATGGATTTTTGTGTAAGGCCAAATAATAGTGAATTACAGTAATCAATTCGAGAGATAACAAGATTACGGACGAGAATGGCAGAGGCATGAGGAGTGAGGAAAGGGCGGAGGCGATTGATGTTACGGAGTTGGAAATATGCTGCACGTGTGACATTATTGACATGTGAATTAAAGGATAATGTGCTATCGAGAATGACACCCAAGCTTTTCACGGAGGGAGAGATAGGGACCAGCGAATTATTGATGGTGAGAGAGAAATTGTTAATTCTGGATAGCAATCGTTTAGTGCCGACCAGGAGAAGTTCTGATTTACTGCTGTTGAGTTTAAGAAAGTTGGAGGAGAACCAGGAATTGAGTTCAGCTAAGCAGAGGGTAAGGGAGGGTGGAGGAAGAGTAGAATCGGGTTTGGTAGAGAGGTAAAGCTGGGTGTCATCGGCATAGCAGTGGAACTGAATATTATATTTACGAAAAATATGTTCGAGTGGAAGAAGGTAAATGATGAAAAGAAGGGGCCCGAGGACAGATCCCTGGGGCACCCCAGTAGATGGAGGAGAAGGCTGAGAAGTGAAGGGTTTTAATTGAATGAACTGAGTGCGGTCAGACAGGTATGATTTAAACCAGGCTAATGGAGTATGAGAGAGACCAATAGAAGCTAATCTGCTAAGAAGAATGGGATGGGAGATGGTGTCAAAGGCTGCACTCAGATCAAGGAGAATAAGGATGGAGAGGAGACCAGAATCAGCTACCATAAGAAGGTCGTTTGTTATTTTTATAAGAGCAGTTTCGGTGCTATGCAGAGGACGGAAGCCAGACTGGAACTGTTCATAAAGGTTATTATCAGTGAGGTGTAGATGGACTTGTGAAGCAACTATTTTTTCAAGAACTTTTGAGAGGAATGGTAGATTGGAGATAGGACGGAAATTATTAAAGTTGTTGGGATCTAGACCTGTTTTTTTCAGGATTGGGGTAATAGCGGCAACTTTGAAGGAAGCAGGAACAGTTCCAGTGGTGAGTGAAGAGTGAATAATAGCAGATATGAGGGGAAGGAGAGGAGGTAAACAGGCTTTGACAAGGACAGTGGGGATAGGATCAAGCTGGCAGGTAGAAGGCTTTGATTTGTGGATGAGATCAGCAATATCAGTTAAAGACGGAAGTTGAAAAACAGAGAGGAAGTGAGAAGGGGGTGGAGTTAAGACAGAGGAGCTACATTGAGCATTAGGGTCCAAGTCTAAGTGTATTTTATGGATTTTTTCAGTGAAGAATAGCATTAGAGCGTCGCAGAAGTTAGATGAATAGAGATGAGCGGGCAGAGAATCAGGTGGCCTGTTAAAGGAGTTGAATAATGAGAATAGGGTCTTGGTGGAGTTCTCACTTGAGCAGACAATGGCAGAATAATAGGCAGATTTGGTTTGACTGACACATTCCTGATAAAACAGAACATGGTTATTAAACATACCCTTATGAATAGTAAGGCCAGTTTTCTTATAAAGACGTTCAAGCCGTCGGCCTTTAGCTTTCAATAGTCGGAGTTCAGGTGTGTACCAGGGTGCAGAGCGAGAAAAGAGTACAGTTCTGGTTTTTTGTGGAGCAAGAGAATTCAAAATACTACTGAGGCTATGATCATAATAAAATACTAGATCCTCTTGAATAGCCAAATTGTTAAGAGACAAGCAGCTGGAGAGAGCAGAAGAAAGGATATCAAGATTTATATTCTTGATATTCTGGAAAGAAATAATACGGGGATTGTTAATTACAGAGAAAGTCATGTGAACATTAAAGGAGAGAAGTAGATGATCCGAAATTAGCAGCTCGTCAGCTGTGCAGATGGAGGTGGTAAGTCCAGAACAACAGACTAGGTCCAAAGTATGGCCCTTAGTGTGGGTAGGGAAGTTTATGTATTGTTTAAGGCTGAAGCTATCAAAGCAGGATAACAGGTCCTTGGTAAGAGGATGGTCGCAGTTATCCACGTGGATGTTGAAGTCACCCAGCAGTATTATATTAGGGGAAACAGTAGCTAGGTTGGTCAGCAGATCAGCAAAGTCACTGATAAAAACAGAATTGAATTTTGGGGGGCGGTAGATGACAGCTATTACAGTTGGAGTAGGTCCTGAAAGTTGACAAACTACAGATTCAAAGGAGCTGTACGTAGGGACAGACAGCAGCGAGACTTTCCAGTTCTCGCGATAGATTACCACGAGGCCACCACCATGGCCGGACTCGCGAGGTTGGCAGGTGTAAACAAACCCCGGGGGGGTGGAGTCGTTGAGTTGCGAAAAGTCATTGGGCTGTTGCCATGTCTCAGTCAAGCAGAAAAAGTCAAACTTAAGGTCTGTTAGGAGATCCTGGATGAGATGTCCTTTGTTCGTAAGTGAACGGATATTAAGCAGGCCGAAGTTGACAGAAGTACTGTCGGACTGGATGAGAGTGTTGGCCGACCTAGGCAGGTTAGCCAAAACATTGTGGTCAACAGACCTGCCGGGGTTCCGTTGAGAGCGACCAGAGGTGGACCAGAAGGACTGAATTGGCTTGGAATTATCCTGATGGAAATACCGACGGGAGCCCCGATGTACGTACTTTCGATGAGGGAGGAAGGCAAAGTCCGTGTGGAGATGAAGAGCAGCCAGCGGCGGAGCAGCCAGGGAGAAGCGAAGCCGGAGGAGCTCATCAGCTGTATACTGATGGAGCCCAGTGCCGAGTCGGTAGATCGATGACATAAAGATCCAGACCCACACAGACAGTGCATAGATCCTGAAAGGCTGCATCATGGACAGGAACAACCGGACAGAGACACCGGTGGGCCCTAGAGACAGGAACAGGACAGGAATCCGGTAGCGACAGCGATAGCGGTGAGTAGCGGCAGCAAGTCGTGCCAGCGTTCACTCAACCGGAAGTCTGCTTGTCATTTTCTTCATTCACCAGTTGCTTAAAATACTCGTTCCCTTTTTTCCACTCAGCCATTTGTATGCTGTAGACAAAAACACTGGCACCTATCCTTTCACATTGCTTGTTCACGTTTGCACCATAGCTACCCAACACCACCTCAGTGATTTTCACCCACATGTGCAGTGACGTTTGCTTCAGCCACCCCTCTCTCTCATTCTTCCCTACCATCCCGAGGCTGTCTCAACTACTTCCTGAATTCTGAGTGACATTTTTTACTATAATATGAAATTCCATCCATCCATCAGCTTCCACTTATCCTTTTCACAGTCGCAGGGGGCGCTGGAGCCTATCCCAGCTGTCATAGGGCGAGAGGCGGGGTACACCCTGGACAGGTCGCCAGTCTGTCGCAGGGCCAACACACAGGGACAGACAACCACTCGCGCTCACGTTCACTCCTGCATTCACACCTATGGGCAACTTAGATTGATCAATTAACCTATCCCCACAAACTGCTTGTCTTTGGACAGTGGGAGGAAGTTGGGGTACCCGTGGAAAACCCACGCAAACACGGGGAGAACATGCAAACTCCACACAGAAGGATGCCGGCCTGATGGTAGAATTGTACTCAGGACCTTCTTGCTGTGCGACAACAGTGCTGACCACTGTTGGGTTTATATTGTTGATTGTCATTTATGCTTAGAAATATTTACTCATATATAGAGTTTTATAATCGATTGCATAATGATAGAGGTCTGATCCTTAGCAGTCTGCAAAGACTCTGTGAGCCTCCCAGAGCACTCTGGCATAAACACACATCTTAAAGTCGTGAGAGAGGTCGTACCTGCTCTTACTGATTTATACTACAGGAGGACACCTACTCTTATCTCTTTAAGTATAAGTGCCTTTTGTTTAGGTGGACCGCTGGACTCCTGGCACAGCAGGTCTGGGGAGTCTTCACAGGGTCACATTTTGACCCCCCCCCCCCCCCCCCACACACACACACACGCATGGCTACACGTACACACAGACAAGGTACTCTTTGTTCACATGTATGCTCGTGTAAGACGTCATATGTTAATGAACTTATGCAATATTTATGTAACCTCAATAAAGAGTAGTGCTACGGGGGAGCTGGCTGAGAGCGAGTGTCAGGAACGGCGCTCGTCACAGTTCTCTCCCTCGTGCACGAGCAACACAAAGAGCTGTGAGGACTTGCGTCTTGCTTTTGCCGTTGTAGTAGAACTGTCTCGCTCCAGACAGACCCATCAACCACCGTTCCTTCTCTTTTAATCAAATTTCTGAGTAACTGATGCACCTTCATGTCTAAATACATAGAATACAGACAGATAAAAGATGATTTCCTTAATAACAGATTTAAATGTAAAAGCTACTAAAAAGTTAAAACCTGGGTACACAGTCTCTATGCCCGGCTCAGGAAGGAACCTCTGAGCTGTGCAGCTAGTAATGATTTCAAAGTCATGACAATGTGCCACTTATCAGCAACCTCACCTTGCTGTGACTGGGGTCGTCAAGGATCTCAGAGGTCACCAAGCCAAAGTGGTCGAGCTGGCAGCAGGGCTTACCCACTCTTAGAATCTGCTCCAGGGGGCTAGTGCAGGGAGGGCACTGCGACAGACTGGAGATGACCTCGAACAAGGGGCCCGGGATCTGCTCTGGGTGGCTTTTGTGGTTCATTCCACGAAAAGATGCAACTGTGCTCTCAGCGCCCCGCTGTTCTGCACTTCTCTCAAGCAAACCACCTCCACTGACTGTGTAATCCACACTGTCCATAGTGGGCTTGTTATAATCCCTGCAAGACCCCAGTGAGGTGTTTGTAAGAGCGTTTTGGCTGTTGTCAATGCAGAAACTGCTGCCCAGGCTTTCGCTGAAGCTGTAGTTCTGCCACGGCATTTTTTCTGCTGAATGCTCTGGGCTCGACGGACCACATCGCCCGTCAAGGTTTGCTGCCGTCTGTTTGGCATGGCACTGTAGTGAGAGCTGCTTCTGGGTCCTTGGTTGCTGCTCCTGCTGAAGGTAGTGTTGGTGAAGCTTGCTATTCAAGTCTGAGGCCTTGTCATTGAAAGTAGTCTGCTGTGTGGTCAGTTGCTCCAACTCGATCTCTGCTGGGACTAGAATGTCTTGGGCTGTCCATTGTCCATTGGCAATAGACTGATTTTGCCCCAGCAGCTCTCCATTTACTATCCTGTGGGGGAAATGGTCACTCTGCTGGCCCCAGTTAGGTGGTACTTTAGTGGTTCGCATGTTGAGATGCTGTTGCATCTGCTGGGATAGCTGGACAATGGGAGTGTGCTCCATTATTGGAGGCTTGGAGGGACAAAACTGCATTTGCACACTTGTATCAAGATTATTTTCTGATAATGACACTGGTGTGGAGGTGGCTGCGGCAGTGCTAGGAGCTACCTGTCCTCCATGTACGGTGGAATCAGTCCTTCCTTCTATCGAGTCATAGATGTAAGAGAGAATCTCATCATTTGTCAGCAGATCATCCAAAGTGGGCACGTGTTCAGGGTCCATCTCAACTCTGATCATACGCTCATCTAGCAGCAGCAACTCCAGGTCCTCAGCACTCAGGCCCAGCCCTTCCAGAGCTCCAAACAGCTCGCTGTTTGAGTAACTCCTCTCTTCTGCATCCATCCCTTGGCCCTCCAAAGAGAGCGAGTCCAAAGTAGCCAGCAGTGGGTCAAAGCTGGTACCTGGTTCTGTGATGCCTGGACCTACGACACTATTAGCAGGTTCATTCCAGCTTCTGTGCAGGTTGGAGGGTTCACTTTCAGAGAAACTAACGTGCTCTGCAAAGAAGCTGCTGTGAAATGACAGCTTGGGCTCCACAGCTGGCTGGCAAACATACACTGACTCATCCTGACTCATGAGTGCCCCAAGAAGGGAGCCCGGGTCCAGGCCATCCGTCAGCAGCTTATCAGTCCGATTCTTCTTTGCCTTGCTAAAATTTTTTACACAGCTGCCATCTCTAAAGCCTGCGATGGGATGATTGGACTGATAGAGCAGGGCTTCTCCTGTAGAATACGTAAAGGGTAGATGCATAGAGCGCTTACGCAAATGTTCTCCTCCTTCTTCATCCCTATAAACACAGAAGACATCATTGTCAGGACTTCTCTGTGCAGTTCTTTTAAACATCTAAGAAATACAAACGTATGGCATTGAAGGGAAGGAGGATGGATATCTTAATGGTTTGATTCAGTGTATTACTCGAGATAAATGACCAAATGAGATTTGTACACAGACAGGTACTTACAAAAGAGGCCTCTGGGTGGCGATGATGTAATCTGGTTTCCCATTCTTATACACCAGCCGGGCATTGGCCTGGACCCACTTCCACTGGTTTTCCTTAGTCAGGAGTCTGAACACAGTCAGACCACTCTCTCCAGTCTTCATCACTTTAAACATTGAACACAAACAACTGTTACTCAGAGATAACCTCTGTCCACTATGACAGTCTAAATCTGCATAACACTTTGAAATGAGTTTCCATCGAAAGTTGTCACAAATTATCCACAGCATCTGTGTCCTGCCAGGCTGGACAGGGTGGCAGTGGACTGACAGTGGACTCATTTCACCTTTACTAGTGGGTTATGGTCAAAGACCGTTAATCATGGTCAGGCTTCGTCACTTCTGACCACGTGCCCATCTGTCCACTGAAGTGCACGTGGTGGTGCTGCTCTCATCTCTGATGCTTTGCCCGATCCTCTTCAGGCAGCTCTGCAGCTTTGCTCAATCTGTTTACTAATCCCACAGGATTACTTACAAAAGCTGTCTGAACTCTTTGACCAGACCAAACGTCCTCAGCACAGGATTTCCTACATATACTCAGGTTGTTCAGTAGCAAAAACTTTTTGGGTGTGAATGTTGAGCCACCTGCTTTGGTTTAGTGTTTTTCACAGCCTGCTGAGTCGAGAGCTGTGTTTCAATCAAGTCTAAAATCCTGGACTCTTAAACGCACCTTAGAACACACATGCATCAACACTACAATGAGCGGGTGGAGGAAGGTTTGGAGTCTTCTTTCACCCCCGTTCTCTGCGACCTGCTGGAGCGGGGGGGCTAGGAGGAGGAGTTGGCCGTCCGACTGGGGTCTGGAGTGTGGGGCCTCCCTGCTGCTACAGAGTCGGGGCGGTCTGCATCTCTCCACCCAGGGAAAAGGGTAACACCACCTGGGTCTGGGTGCAGTTCCCCCCTCCAGGGGCAAAGGTACCTAGACCCGGGGCTTAGAGTACGCTTGGGGAGTGTGATTGTGTGTACAGCGTCTCTTTATGTCTGTCTCCACGTTGGTTGAGTGTGGAGTAAGTGCATATGAGAGCAGTGGCGGACTCCCTCAGACGTCGGTGCGTTGGTGGTTCTTTGTGTTTGTGTGTTTGTATTTTCACGGACCGGCCTTTAAGGTGTCGCGGATAAATACAACAAAATAAAACTAGTACTGGTACCGAAAAAAGATTTATTCATAACACACGTGAAAAGTCCCAGGAAAACCGAGTTAACGAAAAAAACGATAACAAAATAACGCTGAAAA